TCCGGCTGGGGCTGTCAGGAGTTGTTACCGCTGGCGCGGCTCCGCGCAGCTCCAGTCCCGCATTGCCTCGGGAAGAGAAAGGCAAAACCAGGAGCCGCTGCTGCCATTGCAAAGCGCCGCCGCGGCTCTTCCTTTTTGCCTTTCCCTTCCCGAGGCAACGCGGGACTGGAGCCGCGCAGAGCTGCGCCAGCGGTAACAACTCCTGACAGCCCCAGCTGGATACCTCAGCGGAGCTCGGGTGGTGCGAGCCTCGTTTCCTTGGGAGCTGGGAGAAGGCTGGCTGCTCCTTTCGGCTTCACGGGATTCGTTTCCACGGTGCACAAAAGTGCCTCAAAAAAAAAAAAAGTGCAAAAGTGGAAGGCATGCGGAAGAGGGGGCGAGTATATAACAAACTATATTTTGAGTGGAAATGTTGGGGGGTCGTCTTATACGCCGGCATATACGGTAGTCCATCTCCTCTCTGTCTCAGTTAGGTTATGGGGGGTGTAAGCACAAGGTTGCAAAGTTCCAATCTCATTTGCTTGAAGTAGCACCGCCCCCACTGCTACATCACTTGCATTGGCTTGGATCACAAAAGGGGCATCCATCTCTGGATGCTTTCTCACCCACAACAGTTCAAACTGGCCATCCAATCCGTGATCAGACATCTGGCCGTTGACCTTGGCCTGGATAGATAAGATGCTGCAGCTGCACAGCAAGCATAAAGTTTTCCCAAGTTTTCCCAACTCAAGCCTCCAGCACCCTTCCCCCCCCCCCCACACAAAGCCCAATTTATCCTCCCTCCCCCCATTACTATGGCAGCCAGAAATACAAGCAGAAGAAAGATTCTTGAAGGCTGACAGTCACCAACTTTGAAAAACACTGCTCCACACATCTTAAAGTCGGCAAGTTTGAAAAACACTGGTATAATGCAATCCTAAAGCAAGCCAAGGTTGCTTTTTGTCAGGAGAACATCCTTTGGCATTCAGGGTCCATCTCCCCTTTTCCGACTGGGATGAAGGAAAAAGATCCGTATACCACAGCCAGCGTGCTCATTTGAAGGACTCTAAACCAGACAGCTCAGGGATAACAGCCGCGCCGGAGCAAAGCTGGATTTCTGGCAAACGTAGACAAGAGAACTGTTAACCAAACAGTCCAGGATTCAGGAGCCGCAGGCTACACACAAAAGTGTGGAAATGCTGCACTGTCCAGGGCGGTCGAGACAGTGCCAAGGGGACGTCTGTATTTTGCACAGCGCTGGTACTTAGAGGGCTGCCTCAGAAGAAAGAAGAAAAAAAGAACTGGTCATCACAGGGCAGAATTGCAAAATGTGTGCCAAAACCCACACGGCCATCAGCTGACTATCTTTCAGTCTACAGAACAGGCAGATCCTTCCCCAATATAGCTAGTCCTTGACTTATGACCACAGCTGAACCCAAAATTTTTGTCCTTGGTGAATTTTGCCCCATTTTATGACTTTTCTTGACGTTAAGTGAATTACTGCCTTTGTTAAAGTCAGTGGCATTGTTTGTTAAGTGAATCTGGCTTCCCCATTGCTTTTGCTTCCAGAAGGTGGCAAAAGGAGATAACCTGACCCCAGGAGACACTGCAACTGTTGTAAATATGAACCAGTTGCCGTGCACCCAAATTTTGATAATGTGACCACAGATCATAAGTGAAAAACAGTCCTAAGTCACTTTTTTTCCATATTGCTGTAACTTCGAGCCATCGCTAAACGAATGGTTGTAAGTTAAAGACAATTTGGAGGGAAAGGAGAGTGGAATTTCAAAAGGTTTGCCATAAGAAACCTACTACACATCTTTTAAACACCCTCAACTCCCCTCAAATTGAGCTGAGGATGCATTTAATGGGGATGGCTCTCAAAAGTCGGAAGTCAAACTGCTCAGCCGCAACCGCAAGAATATTCTTAATTTTCATTCCTTTTTTACAGCCCTGTAATCCTTTAATTCAGGGTAGACTCAGGGTGACGGGATGGAGCCTAAGAGTTTACTGGACTCTTCCTGACACCACGTGAAGTTCCAGCAGATTAATTTTTTTTCTCATTGCACCCTGAGAGAGAAACATCTGCCGCTACTTAGGATTGAACGTTCAACTTTTTGAATGGGAGGCGAGCATCTTCACTACTACGATACCCCACTCCACTTATATTCTTAATTCTCACTCTTCCAATTTATCCCATTCCTATTGTGGCCTGTCAGCTGCCATCCTCTCTGGCAGCCAAATCAGATGAGGAGGTGGCGTGGGAGTCAGGGCAATCTGGGAGCTCCAAGGAGGAAGAGGGAATGGAGCTGTCAGAGACAGAGGCGGAGCCTGAGCTGTCCGCCAGCCCTCAGATGGGAGAGTCAACATCCCCCAGGTCTGGAGGTAGCTGATGAGGAAGACGAGGAAAAGCTGGGTCCAGTGCCTGACATGTGAATGTGCAGAAGGCAGAGGGGAGGAGAGCAGTGGGAATCTATGGGCCGGTCCTTGGGACGGAAGTGCCACCCCTGCTAGCGAAGCCCCACCCTAGCTCTGGGGATAAAAGGCAGGGGGTGGAGATGAATTGGTATGGCAGACAACTATTCATCTCCCTGCTGGTCCGCCTACACTTCTGAATCCTGTTGGGAAATTATCATAATTCTTCTGAGAATGTGCAGCGCCTTCTGAGTGTGCCTGTGCTGCGCTTCCCTTGCAGGTGTGGGGAGAGAGCTCTTGGTGTGTTGGGGTCATTTCAGGGGGAAAGGGAGCGTGACTTTCCACAAAGCTTAGAGCAGGGGTGTCAAACTCAATTTCACTGAGGGCCGCCTCAGGTCTCTGGTTGTCCTTGGGTGATGCTGGTTGGGCTGGATCCAACCACATCGTGGGCCAGATTCGGCCCGCAGGCATTGTGTTTGACACCCGACTTAGAGACTTCGTTAGCCTGCTGTGAGAGGGCGTCTGCTGGCGCTCCTAATAAAGGGAACGTTTCGTTATCTACAAAGGGCTTGTCGTGTTTGGGAGCCGGGTCAGAAAATTCCCTTTCTCTCCTTTCCTCAGAGCAATTAGTGGTTCTAACCTTGCGGCAGGCAGAGGAGGGAATTAAGGCACACTCACTTAATCCAAATGGGGTCATTGAAAGTGACAAGCAGATCCGTTCCGTACTGGGGGAGGCGTAGCAACACCAAATGCACACACACATCATTTTTGGCCTGCGGACCGGAAAACAGGAAGAAGAAATTAATTGGGCCTACCTGACGCCTCCCATTTTATACCGATGGAAAGCCGGCTTTCGACATCATGAGGGATAGCACCTCTTCTTTAAACAAGGGCATATTCATGGGAAGGGGACAGAACCACATCAATGGTTTCTCTTATGTAAGTATAAGCCAAGCAAGGTCCACTCTGGCTAGTTCAACAGGGCACAATGTCATGTCTGAACTAGATAAATACCAAGGCAGAAAATGAACACAGGTACATGTAGTCCTCGATGTACAACAGAACTGAGCCCAAAATTTCTGTTGTTAAGTGAGGCATTTGTTAAGTGAGGCATTTATCCCTATTTTACGACCTTTCTTGCCACAGTAGGCGTGGTGGCGCAGTGGTTAGAATGCAGTACTGCAGGCTACTTCTGCTGATTGCTGGCTGCCTGTAGAAGTTTCCTCTTTGCATTGGATAGACTGTGTTGTAGATTGGAGATATATGTCATATCCCTCCCTGTCTGTTGAGAGAGGGCTGTTCTATTTTCACACAGATGACCTCTTTGACCTCTCTTTCAAACCACTGGTCTATGTCAAAATGGAACAACCCTCTCTCAACAGTCAACAACACAGTCCTTTCAACAGTTCCAAGAAGCCCCCACACCCATTTGCACTACTCAGGTGACTCTGAGGACACAGACAAGCCTCCAAGCGGCCTCTAAAAGGATGCAAATGAACAGCTGTCTGCAAGGAGTATAAAATCCCTCCATTCCCCACCATCCACTCAGAGCTGAAGAAGCTTCTTGGATGAGAAGCACATCTTCAAAAGAAAAAAAAACAGAGTCTGGTTGCCTCTTGAAAAAACACCTTTGGGGCAACCATGACCTGGAGGACTGAGAATCTCCATTGACCAGGGTGTCAAATTCAAGGCTGGTGGGCTGGATCCGGCCCACGGAGTGCTTAGATCTGACCCGCGGGGCTGCCCTGGAAACAGCGAAGGACTCGCCCGCAGTGCTTCTGCCAGTGAAAATGGAGTTCGGAAGGCCGCGTATGGTCCCTCTTGCTCTGTTTTCACTGGTGGAGCACTGCAGGAGAATGTCACAGCCGAAAATGGAGCCCGGGGGGGGGGCATACATGGCCCCCATAGCTCTGTTTTCGCTGGCAGAGTGCTAGCAAAACAAACTACTAGCAAAAGTGGATCCCTCCAGCCCCACCACAGGTGCCCCCGACATGAGTGATGTCAAGCTGGCCAGTCTACCCCCCTCCCCGCGAGGTCAAACACAACCTTGATACGGCCTTCAATGAAATCGAATTTGGCAAAACCCCTGCCATAGACATTTCATCACAGGTGTCAGGACTCCAACAAATCCACCCTCATTCAAATCAAAAGTCTAAGCATTTATCTAGGCATTTAAGGAATGCCTTGTTTTCCCCCACTCCCTTTTTCTGACAGCTAAAAAGACCAAAGGAGGATCTTTTTAGTTGACAACAGGGATGACCTAACTCCGTGATGGTGAACCTATTTTGCCGGCACATGAGAGGTCGCCCAGAAGAGCCTCACTGCGCATGCACATGCGCCGCATGCCTGACAGCTGATTGTCAGGTATCTGGCGCGCATGCGCGGGGTGTGTGGAAGATGTGCACGCATAGGGGCGTGGGCGGGCACGTGCATTGCCTTCTGGGTGCTGGCACACGAGCACACATGTGCGTGGGTGTAATTTTTGGCACGGGAGCCCAAAAAGGTTAGCCACCACTGGCCTAACTGGTCGTAAAAATGTCATTTTTTCCAATGCTGTCGTAACTTAAAACAGTCACCAAACCAATGGTTGTAACTTGAGGATCACCTGTACATCTCTCTCTCTCTCTCTCTGTGTGTGTGTGTGTGTGTGTGTGTGTGTGTGTGTTATATGCCCGTTTTCCCTCCCCAGATGGTTCATCCTGCAGAACCACCTTCGTTGCAGAAAAATGTTCGGAGCAAGGTCTGCCAAGTGGCAGGACACGATTCGGAAACGGGTAACCTCATCACTCACGTCCTCATTGAATTTAGCGATCTTCTGCCGGCCTGTGAGTTGCCAGGTGCTGCTGCAGCCTTCGAATGCCAGAAGAGCGGGCGCAAACTGGTCTTGGCTCAAAATCTCCAAATTGGCCGAACTGCCCGCAATGTCTTCAAAATGGTACCTGGTGGGATGGGGTGGTTAAAAAAAAAAAAGATGGGTGGACTGGACATCTCCCACTGACCCTTCCACCAATGAATCTCTTTATCCGCAGCTCAGATTATTCCAGATGAACCCCTTCCCCAAATTGCATAGGTGAACATTGAATATGGAGAAAATGCAAAGTAACTCCAGTTAGAGCCAGGCGATCAAACTGGTCAGTCCTAGAGGAGATCAACCTTGACTGCTCTTTAGAAGACCAGATCCTGAATATGAAACTCAAATACTTTGGCCACCTAATGAGAAGGAAGGACTCACTGGAGAAGAGCTGGGAAAGATTGAGGGCCACAGAAGAAGAAGGGGACGACAGAGAATGAGGTGGCTGGATGGAGTCACTGAAGCAGTCAGCGTGAGATTAAAGGGACTCCAGAGGATGGTAGAAGACAGGAAGGCCTGGAGGAAAGTTGTTCATGGGGTTGAGATGGGTCAGACACAACTTCACAACAACAAATACAGGTAGTCCTCACGTTATGACCACAAAAAATGTCTGCTCTTAAGCGAGATATTTGTGAAGTTAATTTTGTCCCATTTTAGGACCTTTCTTGCCACTGTTATTAAGCGAATAACTGCAGTAGTGGTTAGTAACCCAGTTGTTAAGTGAATCCAGCTTCCCCATTGACTTTGCTTATCATAAGGTCACAAAAGTAGACCATGTGACCCCAGGATCCTGCAATGGTCATAAATGGGAGCCAGTTGAATTTTGATCACATGATCATGGGGATCCTTGTGTGCCTAATCACACTTGGCCACATAAAGCACACGTAGCCCTTGACTTACAACAGTTCGTTCAGTGACCGTTGAAATGGCACTGAAAAAAAAGTACTTACGGCCGTTTTTCAGAATTATGGCCTTTCCAGCATCCTCATCATGCTCACATGATCAAAGTTCAGTCGCTTGGCAACTGGTTCGTATTCCCCCTTTGGCGACCTTCTGACGAGCAAAGTCAATGGAAAAGCTGGATTCATTTAACAACCGGGTTAGTAACTTATCAACTGCAGTGATTGACTTAACAACTGAGGCAAAACTCAAGTAACAAATGTCTCACTTAACAACAGAAACTCAAAGCTCATCTGTGGTTGTAAGTCAAGGATTATACCTGTATAGTACACAGTAGGATAGTATAGTATTTCTATTCCTATTTTATTCTATTCATATTCCTATTCCAAAGACTAAGTACCATATTTGATGGTATGATCTTCCCTAAGATCACCCTGGCCCAAGTAAGTGCTGCCACCTAGCTGTGATATTTTGTCATTTCTTCCCCAATTCCCCGCACAAGGAAGTTGTAAAAAGTGGAGATGCTGGGGATTGAACCCAGGACCCCACATATGCAAAACATGCACTCTACCACTAAGCTACATTCCCTTCCATGCCAAGTCTTCCAGCAGATGGTCTCCTGTAGTAGAACAGTTGCCTCTCAATGTTACTTCCTCCTGCTTGTATTTTCAGGTTTCACCAGTGAAGCCAACATTTTAGGCTTTTGCTACATAATAAGTTAGATACTGAGTCTGATGAAAATGTTGCTAAGGCTAATTGGTCATCGATTAATTAATGCCACTAATGTACTATAATATAATTACTATCCTATACTATAATTACTATATTTCACTATAATTACTATACTACATTATAATTACTATACTATAATTACTATACACTATAATTACCATACACTATAATTACCATACCATACCATACCATACCATACCATACCATACTATACAATCTACAGTATCTATATACTGTATTATAAAAGCAAAATACCACTCATGCATCATCACAAAATCTCCAGAACTGTAAACCTACAAACTTGAAATTTGGCACGTATGTTCCTCTTGGCTTCTAGGGGCTCACTAAGAAAGGATTTTTCGAAATGACCATCAGAGCATTAGTATTTCCTATATTATTATTCACACGCTCTGATGCTAAGGAATTCTACTCCCCCTCCCCACCTGAAAATAAACCTGTTCCAAATGCAAAACACAAGCAGAGGAGAGTTTTCAGTTTCAGAGCACCGAGCAGCTTTAGTACAGAACAGTTGAGCTAAAACATGCCCAGGCTCCTTGCTGTCTCCTTCTTGCTCACACAGCAAATACTGCTTCAGTTTCCAAACAGCCCTCAACTTTCTCACACACTGACAGGATGCTAGCCAGATGAATGCTGATGGATGCTGGTAGGCAGAGCCAGAATTTTTCCCCCTTATTTTCCTCTTCAAAAACTAAGCCCGACCACATAATTTCATAGCGAAGCATTGGTATCGAGCTAGTTAGTATACTATACTATAATTACTGTACTATGCTATGCTATGCTATGCTATGCTATAGTAAACTATAGTATACAATACTATACTATACAATTGTTTATACTGGAAATACGCCAGTCTGGAAACAGATTTGCTTTCCAGAATATTTACAGGAAAATCCATTAATTTCTGCATTCATGGCCTCTAATTAAAAGAACATACAGCTAGCCTTCGATTTATGACCACGGCTGAGCCCAAAATTTCTGTTGCTAAACGAGACAGCTGTTAATTGAGTTTACCCCATTTTACGAGCCAGGGGTGGGATTTGGCAGTTCTCCGAACCAGCCATAACATTAGCTACAGATTCTCCTGAATCCGGGTGAACCCTTAGGTGCCCACCCCTGCTTGAAACTCTAGTACCAATCTGTCCTGCAATGAATTGTCCCATTTTGCACCACATACCTGGCAGCATTTTCATCCGGCACCCCTGCTTGGTATTCCAGAAGTTCTACGATGATGCTCTGATCTGTGCTGGGGTGAACGAAGACTTCCTGGTTGTCAGGGACCTGACGCATTTCGCTGTGAGGGAAAGACATAGACAGGGAGAAGAAATCAGGGTCAGCCAGCCACTACGTGTCTGTGAGCACGTGGACCTCCTAAAGACCCAACAAGCAGGCCATCTTCTATGGAGATATTCAGTCATCCGATCATGGTTAGAATAGAATAACAGGAATTTTCTGACTGTGAGAGCAATCAACCCATGGAACAGAAGTTGCCTTCAGAAGTTGTGGGAGCTTCATCACTGGAGGCTTTCAAGAAGAGATTGGACTGCCATTTGTCAGAAATGGTGTAGGGTCTCCTACTTGGGCGGGGAGGTTGGACTTGCTATACTATACTAAACGATACCATACTATACACTACCACACTACACTATAATTACTAAACTATAACATACTCTACTCTACAATCTTAATCTATATATATATAAAAGCGAAATACCACTCACACATCATCACAAAATCTCCAGAACTGTAAAGCCTACAAACTTGAAATTTGGCACGTAGGTTCCTCTTGGCTTCTAGGGGCTCACTAAGAAAGGATTTTTCGAAATGACCATCAGAGAATTAGTATTTCCTATATTATTATTCACACGCTCTGATGCTAAGGAGTTCTACTCCCCCTCCCCACCTGCAAAACACAAGCAGAGGAGTTTTAGCTTTAATTTCACAGCAGCAACCAGCGTTAGTACAGAACAGTTGAACTAAGCCACACCCAGGCTCCTTGCTGTCTCCTTCTTGCCCATACAGCAAATATTGGTTCAGTTTCCAAACAACTCAACTTTCTCACACACTGACAGGATGCTAGCCAGATGAATACTGATGGATGCTCGTAGGCAGTGGCAGAATTTTTCCCCCCTTATTTTCCTCCCCAAAAACTAAGCCCAAGCACATAGTTTTGTAGCGAAGCATGGGTATCGAGCTAGTCTGTATCTAAAATTCAAGTGCTAGGCAACTGGCTCCTATTTATGGCACTTGCAGCATCCTGGCGGGTCTCATGAGCTTCCCAGTTGACTTCCAATAAGCAAAGCCGATGAGGGAAGCCAGATTCACTTAACCTTGCCACCAAAAGCAAAATGAGGCATGATTCGTTTCACAACTGCCTCGCTTAGCAAAGGAAGTTGAGGTCCCAATTGTCGTCCTAAGAAAACTCACACAGAATGGCAACTGCTATTAAAAAATGGGAATCAGAATAACAGAGCTGGAAGGGACCTTGAAGGTCTTCTAGTCCAACCCTTTGCTTAGGCAGGAAATCCTACACCATTTCAGACAAACGGTTGTCCAATCTCTTCTTAAAAACTTCCAGTGTTGGAGCATTTACAACTTCTGGAGGCAAGTCATTCCACTGGTTAATTGTTCTGTCAGGAAATTTCTCCTTAGTTCTAGGTTGCTTCTCTCCTTGATTAATTTCCATCCATTGCTTCTTGTCTTGCCTTCAGGTGCTTTGGAGAATAGGTTGACTCCCCTCTTCCATGTGGCAGCCCCTCAAATATTGGAACATTGCTATCATGTCTCCCCTAGTCTTTCCTTTTATTAGACTAGGCCAGGGATGTTGAATTCAATTTCATTAAGGGCCACACCAGAGTTGTGTTTGACCTTGGGGGGGACTGGGGGGGGGCAGCTCAACATCACTCATGTCGGGGTCGCCTAGGGCGGCCCGAGCACTCTGCCAGCGAAAATGGGCTCCCAAGTTCTGTTTTGGCTGCAACAGCCTCCTGCAACCCTCTGGCAGCGAAAACAGAGCTCAAGAGAGCAGCTTGCAGGCCTTCCAAGCTCCATTTTTCTGGAAGAGGCACCGCGGGCCAGTCCTTCGCTGTTTCCAGGGTGGCCCGTGAAACAGATCTAAGCATCTTACAGGCCAAATCCAGCCCCCGGGCCTTGAGTTTTGACACTCCTGGAGTAAACTTACCAAATTCCTGCAATCCATCAATGCAAAGAACTGGTCCAGTTCTTTCCAAATCAGAATGCCTAATAGGCCTTTGTTTGACCCACAAGTTACGTTGGGAAGCCAAGAGGCTACTGGGAAGGCCGGAATGAATCCCTTTGGGCAGAAGTTGGTCAGAGGCAGAGAATCTAACCCACCTGATATCCAGACTTCCAGGAGGGAGGCAAGCTGAAAAGGCACCCCCAAAGAGGTGGCTTTCTTGGAGCTGCTTGTCTGCCATGGCCCTTTGCCTACAAGACAAACCAAAGAGCAGATGCATTGGATATCCACAAAAAGTGACACACACAAAATGAAGTCTCAGAGGCCTGGATGAGCTGCAAACTGCAAAGTTTTTGCACTTAAATGCGTAAAATAAAATATATAGCAATCTGTAGCAACCCAATTATACGTTGGGCTCGATTGGGGCCTTGAAGTTGAGGAGTACTTGGACTAGATGGCAGAGAGTATTGAATGGGAAGATGGCAGCAAAGAGGATAATTTGAACCTTGGTGGCACAGTGGTTAGAGTGCAGTACTTCATGCTACTTCTGCTGACTGCTAGCTGTTTGGCAGTTCAAATCTCACCAGCCTCAAGGTTGAGTCAGCTTTCCGTCCTTCCGAAGTCGGTAAAATGAGGACCCAGATTGTTGGGAGGCAATATGCTGACTCGGTAAACTGCTTAGAAAGGGTTGTAAAACACTGTGAAACGATATATAGCAATAGCAATAGACTTATATAATATTATTTATTTTATTTTATTTATTTTGTCAAGCAATTATAAGATAACAGGTATAAGTATAAACATAGTTATGAACACATGAAATGGATACGAATAAGAAAAAAAAAGGAACAACAGGACAGGGACGGTAGGCACGTTGGTGCACTTATTCACGCCCCCTACAGACCTCTTAGGAATGGGGTGAGGTCAATAGGAGACAGTCTAAGGTTAAAGTTTTTAGGTTTGGGGGAAGAAACCACAGAGTCAGGTAGAGTATTCCAGACATTGACCACTCTGTTGCTGAAGTCGTATTTCCTGCAATCAAGTTCAGTGCGGTTTACCTTGAGTTTGTATCTATTGTGTGCTCTTGTATTGTAATGGTTGAAGCTAAAGTATTCATTGACAGGTAGGACATTGCAATGTATGATTTTATATACTATACTTAGATCGGACCACAGGCAGAGTAGTTCTAGGTTTTCTAGGTCTAGAATTTTGAGTCTGGTGGCATAAGGTATTCTGCAACAAATAGAGGAGTGGAGAACTCTTCTTGTGAAATATTTCTGGACTTTCTCAACTGTGTTAATATCAGATACGTAATGTGGGTTCCAGACTGATGAGCTGTATTTGAGTATTGGTCTAGCAAATGTTTTGTATGCTCTAGTTAGTAGTGGGATATTACCAGAGAAAAAGCCAAGGAGGATTAGGTTAACAATACCACTTTATAGTGCTTTACAGCCCTTTCTAAGTCTGCTATTGCTATTGCTATAATTTCTCTTTCTCTCTCTCCTTCTCCACTACTCTAGAGTTCTGAGATCTGGGAAGGACCTAATTGCTGTTTTCTTCTGTATCTGTTCTCTTCAGGCTTTTAAAAAAGAACCAATCATGTCACAATCAGTTCGATCCTAGGTAGAGGCAGATATTTCTC